AGTGGGGAGGGGGAAAGGGGCGGAGGGCAAAAAAGTCACTCTGCTTGTGACTCAAATCTGCAATTTTCATCGCACTGGGTGTAGCCGTTGATGGAAGTTTTGTGGCAAAATATTTTGTAGATGTCGCTCCATAAGCGGGAGCAGGCCACCCCTTCACTGCCTTCACCGTCTCCAGAATATGACGTCATCTGTCATCACCGTCGAGCTCAAGGAGGCCTACCGTAATCGCTCCATTCTGAAGCTGCTGCATTTTCCTCAATCGGTTTACTGGTGGACATCTTTTTAAAGACTTCAGCTCTGCCGTTGTAGGACTCCTCCCGGCCACCTTTCTATTTCCCGTCGTAGTGATCTACTATCCGTCGAGATCCTCGTTGGGCTCGCAGCATGCACTACGTTCCATGGAAAAATTTTCTGAATTCTTTGGTGTAGAAGGCTGATGGAAGTTTTTTTTTGATAGATTGGCATGTGCTCTTCAGTTTTCGGGGTTTTTTCTTCGAGCATTTGGTTTGATCTTAGCAGAGTGTAACTAATTTTGTTTTGAAGTGGAGAGAGTGGCTTTTTTGCCCTCTCCCCTGTATATTGCTCCGCGGATCATGCAGTTCAGCGCACCTCAGTTGCTACAATTGTCAGATCGGCTTTGTCTCGTCAGAAATTCGCGTCATTTTGCCTGCAGCTCGGCATTCTAGTACCTCGGCTATCTGCTTTGACGCTTGCTTCTAAATCTTTGCTGCGCTTGTATCGGTGGTATTCGAACAAACGTGGCAGCGGCAATTTCAAAGGGAGGAATTTCTTATATATGTTGAAAGTGGCCTCTTTCTCTGCCATGCCTCAAGTTCCTGATTGGCAACCATTCACAAGATCTGTAATAGAATCCGAATGCGTATTAAGTCTGAGTAAAGAAATCCCATACAATGCTACATCGTCCCCGCTTCACCTTTCATATCCTAATCAAGACGAAAACAGTTTTTGACTCCAAAAGCGCTAATCTGAAAAGGTTCTTGGGAAACCAAGAGAGTGTGGTTCGGGCGTTGTATGAATACTCGTTATGAACGTGGGTTAACAGCTCCCGGTGTCAGTTCTTCTTATAAATACTGCTTTTTGACTTCCTCTGCTCCATCAAGCAAATTGTATCGTGAATTAAAACGCATAGGCATTTGAAGCCGTTTTGGACTGTGCAATGATTCGTGATGCCTGCTGATGACTAATTATTTGCTCTGTTCCGAAACACTTTTCTCGTTGCCAATCCCGTTGAATCTATTTCACTAGATAGCCGCATCGCAGCTGTTCGAAATCTAATTTTTAAATCCCTGAAGAAGTGGAGAAAGAATTTCTGTAGAGTTTCATGTGTGCAAAATTTCCCATTTTTAGCTTTTACGGGCTTTCAAAGTCCTCTTCGAAGAGTATCAGCGATATCCTTTAACCCTTTCGGACCTGAATTTTTTCCGTGAAATTTTTCTTCTAGCTATTGTTTATTACTTGTGAGCACATAAATATCATTATGGCGAAATTTGGAAGCTATTCGATCACAAACTAAGAAACTAGGAAGCTTTGAAAATTGGCACACCTTCTTAGTTTTTTTTTTTAGCTTATGTCGAAACAATTCCAAATTTCTTAGTTATGTCGAAAAAGTTTATGATCTTGCACAACATTATATCTAACGTTTTTGATAAGAAATTGAATATATGTCAAGTATTTTAGAAATTATTGACACCATTACACAAATATTGGGTTGGAGCATAATATCGTAGCGTTTTTCATTTCGAGCTACGAATTCAGTGAATACAAGTATTACCCAGGAAATCACATATATCATTTGAAAGTACTTCTTCTGCTCTACAATACCATTGGCATTTTCTTCTATACTGTAAGTGTACTCAGATATGGCGCTTAGAAGTTGGAGAATCAAGGTGGGCGAAAATCTATATAGAGAAAAAAGCTGCCAAAATAGGAGTTTTTCGGAATCCATCGTCATCATCGAACCTTACTCCAGTCGACCCTTAATTTCAAATCATATTCACGTCGTACAAATTGAGAATAAGTGAGGATTCTGAAAACGGGCTCACTACCTTTTTTGATTTCTAAACCCGGTAATTTCTTGCGAAATGGAACCAAAGTCGTAAATAATGACGAGAAGAACATCGCTGATCAGTTTTATGCTTGGCTTTGCTTTTGGGTTTGTTCTTCAAACGTTTTTGCCGAAACGAGCGCTACGATATTATGCTCCGACCCAATACATTGTAATAGCCTGCAAACAACACACAAGAAAATGGCGGGCTCAAGCATAATTAGGAAGGAGGAAGGTGTCTGAAAAGTAACCTCTAGCAGTGGGTAGTAGAAATGCTGTTGCAGCGGTAATGCGGACATTTATATTTGATGGTGGCAATTGCCACCGCCAGGTCCGAAAGGGTTAGTTTAACCTGAATCTACGAGTTGGACTATAAATAGTATCAGAAATGTCCCTGTCACGCTTCTCATATCTAGCACTAAATTCGAATATTTTTTCGGTTGTTCTCTGCTTGAAAGGAAGTTCCAAAAGGCGTTCAGAGTTCCTTAACGCTTGGTGATGTCATGGTATATTGAGGAGCAAGAACCTGTTTACCTCGACTATAACGCTACCACTCCGCTTGATCCGAAAGTGAAGACAGCGATCACCGATGGACTGGAGCTATGGGCCAATCCATCCAGCCAAAATCCCGAAGGTGAGGATTCATCAGGTTCAGAGAAGCCCTATTTTTCGAGATATTTTCCCGTTCAGCTGAGAAAGCGAGAGAAGCTGTGAAGAAGGCAAGACAATCACTCGGTGAACTTCTTCACGTGTCCGATGCCGAAGTTATCTTCACTTCTGGAGGCACTGAGGTATTCCAGCTGTTTCTCCCCCTATTCGGCTCACATACACTCCTGTTTCATGCAGCCAGAAATCCACGTGGCACACGTGGCTAAATTCTCGATGAAAAGGTGACGTCACGTGTGCTCAAAGATGTTCTTGAATCGATGCCACGTCAATGCCACGTCAATTTCTGCAATTGCACAATTTCTGGTCATTTGAAGGCGAGGGTACGTTAACATGTTTCAGGCGAACAACTGGGTGATCTATTCGGCTATTCAGAGCTTCAAATCCATTCCGGAACATTCCTCAACCATTCCCCACGTGATCACTTCTACAATCGAACATCCGTCTATGATGGAACCTCTCTGTCACCTTCGAGACACAAGTTCTATTGGTAGGCTGGCAGGGTCTTTTTGAACATTTTAATAGTCAGGAAAATTCAAGTTTGTGAAAGGCCCTTGATTATTTGTATTTCGGCGCTATCGCAAAATACGGGGGCATCCTCTAGGACTAAGCCAAGCAGAGGTAAGAAGGCCGGGGAAAATGAAAACTGCTCAATTGCTCACGCACCGTGGGTCCCTCCTCATCCTAGGGCTTAGTTTCGTTTTAACAAAAAGGGGGATTTTCAAGCGGTTCCAAGAGCACAGCTACCACAATGCCCGTGTATCTCACGACAGTGTCTTATTCTATTACCATCGACAAGCATCGTTTTCATGGGAGAGGAGTAGAGATGGCCGAATGAGGTCGGGACTGTACGCAGCACTGACTTTGTAAAGAACGTGGAGTCCAACTTATGTTGAGGAGATCTTTGAAATGCGGAAAGAATATAATAACTTCTCGTTCAGCCAGTGGATTGCGTGAATGCATAGGTGGAGCGCTTCCACAGTAAAATCCATATACCTACTAGACGTGCTCGGTGTTTCAATTTGATCGCCGGGGCCACGAGCTAAGTCGCACTTCCATGCTTGTGAAACCATTGATGCTGCTAGATGCAGTTCAAAATTCTCGACATCCTGGAGATATTCGTTTTTTGCGGTTCCTGACGTGCACAGGTGTACAGTGAAGAAGGCCTTCGCACATTACGGGAAAACTCAAAGTAGAACTTGCCTGCAGAAGTCTATCAGCAGATTAAAATAAGCACTTTGTTGACTGCTGTTTTGAGCATTTCCAACATCTTTTTAATCCTGTTTCTAGCAATGTAACACATGTAATTACATTGTGTAAATGCGTAAT